AATCCAAAGAGGACCACACCAAGACACATCATAATTAAAATACCAAGGGCAAAAGACAAAGAGAGAATCTTGAAAGCAGCAAGAGAAAAACAGTTACCTACAAGGGAGTACCCATATGACTGTCAGCTGATTTCTTAACGGAAACTATGCAGGGCAGAAGGGAGTGGCAAGAAATATTCAAAGTGACGAACTTCAAGAACCTACAACCAAGGTTACTGTATCCAGCAAAGCTATCATTCAGAATTGAAGGTCAGATAAAGAGCTTCACAGAAAAGAAAAAGCTAAAGGAGTTCACCACCACCAAACCAGGATTACATGAAATGCTGAAGGGTATTCTTTAAGAAGAGGAAGAAGAAAAAGGTAAAGGTAAAAATTATGAACAACAAAAAGACATTAAATACATACCTAACAACAAGTGAATCTAAAAATCAAGTGAATAAGAAATCTGAAGAACAGAATGGACTGGTGAATATAATAGAATCAAAGACATAGAAAGGGAGTGGACTGCCAAAACCTGTTTGGCTCAGTGGATAAGAGTGTCGGCCTGCAGACTGAAAAGTCCTGGGTTCGATTCCAGTCAAGGGCATGTACCTTGGTTGCGGGCACATCCCCAGTGGGGGGCATGCAGGAGGCAGCTGATCAATGATTCTCTCTCACCAATGTTTCTAACTCTATCCCTCTCTCTTCTTTGTAAAAAAATCAATAATATATATATATATATATATATATATATATATATATATATATATATATAAAGAATTTAGAGGTCAGTAAAGGATGATTACAGTAATATTGCTCATTAATTAAAAAAATTAAAAAAAAATAGGAAGTGGACTGACAACTCTCAGGGGGAAGTGGGTTTGAGGGGTATGGGAAGAGATTGGACAAAAATCTTACACCTATGGATGAAGACAGTGGCAGAGGTAAGGATATGAGGTGGGGTGGGGAATCAGGTGGATGGAAGCTATGGGGGGAAAAAAAGAGGAACACCTATAATAATATGAACAATAAAGATTTATTATAGTAAAAAAAAAAAGTCAGTTTACCAGTGTTAAAATCACAATATATTGTGCTGTGAATATTTTAATGGTTTTTTGCTTTTGTTGCTGCTTATAATTATTATTAAGTTTTCATTTTTTACTATACACTTCCTTCCCTTTTTGTTAGATTTTTATTTATATTTCATGTCCTTTTTGTTTTTAAAGTGTTCATTTATAGACTAAATATACATTAAACATGTACTGTGTAAAGGAAAGGTTACAACAGGGAGTCACTTGGAGGTCTGAAATGGATTAATTCAATTTAATAGGGAAAGTGATTCGGTTTCAAACAACCTTTGGAGTGAATTAAGTTCAGGCGACGAGATTCCACTGTGTCTGTGAATTCCCATCAGGCCAATCCTCGCTGCCCATGGGCCTCATGCAGTGCTTCACTGCGTTTGCAGAGGCCACCCCTTCTCCGCTCTGTTGTGCTTTGTGGGCTGGGCTTCGCAGCAGTGCTATTTGAGCCTCAAGTCTCAGGGTCCCTCATGAAAACAGCTCCTTAGCCAAAACCGGTTTGGCTCAGTGGATAAAACATTGTCCTGCGGACTGAAAGGTCCCAGGTTCGATTCCGGTCAAGGGCATGTACCTTGGTGTGGACACATCCCCGGTGGAGGATATGCAAGAGGCAGATGATCAATGTTTCTTATTGATGTTTCTAACTCTCTGTTTTTTTGACTCTCCCTTCCTCTCTGTTAAAAACTCAATAAAATATATATTTTATAAAAAAAGAAAACAGCTCTTTTAGCTTCTTTCTGAATCCCCCCTCTCTACAGTCCATGGGTTGGGGAGAGAAATAGATATCGGCCTGTTCTCTTGTTTGTTTTATTCCCATCTCACCAGAAGAAACATAAATAATAAATGAATTAATTTTTTAAAAAGCAGAAGTCTATAGACTTGCATCAGATTCATCTAGATCCTGAAGCTCATTCAGGATTAGTCAGAATCTGGGATACACTCATACCCTAGGACTCTTCCCCAGACACACAGACACGGACACCCAGGACACCCAGACCTCAGGATATCTGAAATTCCCAATTTATTAACTTGCAGTGAACTATAATGTTAGGAAAGACCGGACTCTTGGGTCCTCTGGTTAATACATTCTCTCCCTGAAGAACTCAGTTGTAATTGGAACTTGGTGAGCATGGAATAGAATGTTTTATTGTGTCATAAACTTAGTTTCCACCTTCTTTCTGAGAAAAACGGATAAGACTGGTTTTCTTGACTTTTAAATTATTGTATAGTTTATCAATTTAGAATCAGTTAGACTAAATAATATACATTCCACCTCAGTGAGGGGGTAACTATAAAAGAGAAGGACAAAGGATCTGGGAAACAGCTGCTCCAGTGCAGGAGAGAGAGCAGGGAATTCCAGAGATGAAGGGGAAGAGACATCCCTGGCAAGGTGTCAGCTAATTAGCAGCCCAGAGAGCAAACAAGCCAGCCGGAAATAAGGGAAAACCCCCGAGGATGGTCTCCAGGCCTGGAATGAAATGGATAGATTATTTGAAGTGTTTGAACTGAGATAAAGGAGAATTACAGCTCTGTTGGAAAGTTTGAGGATGAATTGGTGAAAAATACATAATAAACATTAAGCCAAAAATATGGAGAGAAAGTCAAAGAAGAGGAAATAGTAATTGTTAGTTTCGGGGGGGGGGCGATTTATAAGAAAGGAACTTTGTACTGTGCCTATCCTCTGGAAGGAATCGGAGGCAAAAGAGCTGTGGACTAGACGTTACTCTCAGGACTCCTTGCAGGTTCACGTGGAGGAAGAGACACTGTGGTCTGAGACGGATTTGAGAGTTCAGAGACCTGGGTGTATAGCAGAGAGATGGATGGCGAGGCTCAGCTTGGGTCCTGCCCATTCCCAGCTGATGCAGGACAGAGATGATCATTGTCTAGGACAGAGGGTATCGGATTTCTTTAGACTGAGCTAAGTGTGCTTCCCGTGTTTCTTTGCTTTCTCACACTGTTTTGTAAGCGACTGGTTTTTTTGTCTTTACCACTAACCTATAAGTTTTTTTTTGTTTTTTGTTTTTTATGACAAAAACTGTCTTCTTCACTATTATCTCAGCACAGCACTTAGCATGTCATATGTTGGATGAATTAATAATAGTGGAAGAAAGTTAGGATATGGTGTAAGTTTTATGAATAACTATACTGAAACTTGTGAAGATGAGGTCAATGGGGAAGAATGGTGGAAGTAATAAAATTAAGTCCAAAAGTGTTCAGGAAATTTGTAGGAAAAATAAATTAGGATGCAGAGAGACTGGACATGGACTTGAGGAAAACAGGAAGTGGCAATAAGGAGCAGTGATCTTTCTGAACTGTCGATTGCCTCAGTGAGATGATGGAGATGAAGAAAAGGTTGAACCCTGGTGAAGGAGATAGTGCCTTATGGGAAAAATTACTTAAATTGGCACTTTAAGGAATGAGTGGGAATTTAAAGTGTACGTGCTGTGGAAGAGCAGGGCTCCCAAGCAAGACTGAACATTGTATGTAAAAGTAGAGAGGGTGAGGAGTTTGTGTGTGCTTCTCGGGTGAGGAAGCAGGGCAGATAAAAAAAGATCACTTAGGCAAATGAATTGAATGATCCCTCAGGATAGGTGATAGAGTGCCATTGAATAATTTCAAGGAGAGTGATGTAATCAGATTTGCAATTTACCAAGTCCACTTCATGGAAGTGGTTTAGAAGATGGATTGAAATGAGATGGGACTCAGAAGCACAAAGACCAGTGAGAAGGCTGTTATAGCAGTGAGATTTAGAGAAGCTGGCTTTAACTCTGGCAGTTAAAAGGGATTTGAAGGGGTGATTGATATGAGAGCTATTTAGGAGGTAAAAGCCACGGTGCTTGGTGATTAATAGGATATGTGGCGCTAAGGAAGCTTGGAGAATCTTGGACGATTATAGGTTTCCTGTTGGGAATCTTAGTGAATGCTGGCACTATTTACAGAGAGAGGGGATATAAAAAGGAGAGGAAATTTGAGGCAAAATGGTGTTTTGTTATGGCCCTGTTGAACCATCCCAGTGGAGAAGACTTGTTTGCAAAAGAGGACTGGAGTTAAAAATTTGGAAGCCAGTATAGGGTAGGTTATTGAAGCGGTAGGCTTTTAAAATTATTTCTTATCATTATTATGCTAATTCAAAATTGAGTATAGATAAACCTTTTGTTTGTTTATTGTTTGTTTAAACTAATAAGCAGAGGCTTAAGGTCCACAATTTAGAGCTCTTTAATTGGAGAGGATTGTTAAAGATGAAGGATCAAGAAAATTTTATAATACAGTATAATTTGAAAATAGTCATTTTTGTCTTTGAGGAAGTGACGTAGGTTTCAAGTAATTTAATTTAAACAATTTGTCACATATTTTCTAACTAAAGTCTGACATTCATACAATTAAGTGCATAAAATGCATAGTTCAGTGATTTTTTTTTCATGAATGTTTGCATTCTTATTACCAGAATCCAGATCAAGATCATCTCTAGCTTTAAATAAGGTTCCCTTGCAACATTTTAACCGTAGTTTTTATTCTAGAAGTTTTAGATCACTAAGTAAGCTTAGGATGGGAGCATCCTCCCTCTCCTTGACAAAGCCCTGAAAGGTGCTCAGTAAGAAGTTCTTAGAGAAGAATAAAAGTCGAAACCTGGCTTTCCAACTTGGGTCCAGCATAATTGCTCCGGTAAAGAAGGGCCATTCTGCCATCAGTGAAGTAGTGGCAGTGAGGGGGAATACACCATCAACACTCAAGCGCATCCATGCAGTGAGTTTCAAGAAGCGTGCCCCTGGGGCACTCAGAGAGACCCAGACATTGGCCATGAAGGAGATGGGAACTCCAGATGTGTGCATGGACATCAGGCCCAACAAAGCTGTCTAGTCCAGTGTGGTCCGCAAGGGCCCCTTGGAGTGAGTTACACCATAGTGACTGGCTGCCGCTGACCTGTGGTGCTTGCCTTTGCAGGTGGAACAGGAGGATTTTGTAATGGAAGGGCATGGCAAGACTCCACCTCCTGGTGAAGAAAGCAAACAGTGAGTCACACTTTATTTACAAAGGGTCTTATTACACATCGTCAAAAGCACTTTGGTTAAACATGCTGAGAGCATGTTTGCAGGGATGTATATGTCGGGCGCATTGTGGAACTCACCAGTTGCTTTGGCTGCTGTTAATGCATTGCTTCTATTTATAGACACTAACTGGAGGGACAAGAAAGTTGGCTTTGTAGTTTTTCATACTTGAGTAATCGGAATTTATGTTACACTTCAGCAAAGGCTTCAAGAGGATGTTCCAAATGGAACTAATTCAGTCGGGTTGATTTCCAAAGAAAGCACAAAATTGTATATCCTTTTCTTAGCAGTGTCTTTATGAAGTGACGAAATTAATAGGCTGTTTTCTTGCATTCCAAGTGTGAATTTATTTGAATAGTACTTCCTGAAATTCTTTTCCATCGAGTTAATTATATTTCTGATCTTTGTTTAAATCACAAATTGTTTCCCTAGGAATAGGATTTATAAATAATATAACTTAGCCAAAGAATTCTGAATAATTCAGGATTTCTTCCTTCCTGGTTTAAAAGTGGTTAAGTTTTAAATTTGAAATTGGGAGTCCTCTGGGTAGCTGTTGGTGGCAATGAGTAGTTTTTTTGCTCTCTGTCACAGACTTTGAAGAATTGTGTTATGTGTTATAGCATATTTCATATGTCCTGTTAAAGAAAAAGATAGTTAAGCCCTAACCAGTTTGGCTCAGTGGATAGAGCATCGACCTGTGGACTGAAGGGTCTCAGGTTCGATTCTGGTCAAGGGTACATGCCTGTCCAGGTTGCTGGCTTGATGCCCAGTTGGAGGCATGCAGGAGACAGCCGATCAGTGATTCTCTCTCATCTTTGATGTTTCTGTCTCTCTCTCCCTCTCTCTTCTTCTCTGAAATAAATAAAAATATATTTTAAAAAACAATAGTTAATAGTGGCTTAAAGGACTGATATAACTACTATTTTTTATTCAGACAGTAGTCTTCTAACTTGAATGGTTCAGTGATTCACGGAATTTACTGAAAATCTATAGAGAAATTGCATTCTCTTGCCTTTTTTATTTTCTAGAAAATAGCTTTTAGTTTTGGTCTGTCTTATGAAAATTGTGTCTTTGCAGCCCTTAGGAATGAATTATGCAGAACAGCTATGCTGCCACGTGGCCAGGTTCGTTAAAGGAGAATATTCATCTCATATTTGTTGTGAATGGAAACCAGGATATTTTCACAGCTGGCTTAATTTGCTAAGCAGGCAGTTTTAAAAATAGCTTACAGTATAAATCCTAACTTGGCTGTATTCTGTCAAATGCACTTATATTCTGCATGGGCTGTTGGAATCTATTTATCTTTAACAAATTAGAATACCAAACATCTAGTCCCAGTGAAATTACAGGAAAACTTCAGGTATTTCTTTCTGCCCCTCTGCCCACTTCCCAAGCCCTACACTTTACCCCTATCAGAGGTCTTTATAAAAAACATAGCTCTCATTTGACAAGGGTTTTCTGTGCACAGAATACTTTGCCAACTACAGTGTCTCCATTGAATTCAGAGATCAGAGTAGGTAACTTGCTCATGGTAATGTAGCTTGAAATTGAAGTTAGGATTTGAACCTGGATCTTTCTGATTTTATAATATCTCTTAAACACAAATCCTTTGTCAACCTTGGGAGCTATGTTTCTGAAAAATACTGTGGTTAGCAAAATGCAGTTGTCAAGATCAAAGTCTCATGGATAAGAGGGAGTTGGGGGAAACAATGAAAGTGGCATTAAGCCTATTTTTAAAACACAGATGAAAGTTCTATTCTTTGGAGGGTATCCATTTCTCAAACAAACCAGTCTTTATCTTTAAAAACCTGCTGCGGTAACCCTCTCCTGAATCGGCTTCTTTAGGGATTCAGGAAACATAGCTGGGGCAGATTCTCCCACAAGTTTTATGTGATACACACTGCACTTCTTTTGGAGAGAGTTTCAAACGGCCACAGCGGACCCGAAACGTCATGTGTTGTAGTCTTACCATTCTCCCTTGTTTTGTGTTAATAAACCTCATACTGCCTTTTCATAGACAATCCTGTTTTGTTTTTCTGGGCTTGGTCTGCAGTCATACATCGAAATGAGAAAGCAGAACTAAATCTTCTCGTTAGGTATTTTTCCCATAAGACCTACTCACCTCTTCTGTAGAAGTAGGGAACAGAGGTTCTTGTCTGAAGCAACAGAAATAATTTTTTTTTTTTTTTTTTTTTGTATCTCAGAACTGTAGTTAGCAAAGGATGATTGAATCATAGGATCTACGTTGTCGATCCTGAAAGTGACACATTTCTGAATAACTTAATGGAAATTCCCATTCATTATTTTATTTTATATTTTTTATTCCTCACCCAAGGATATGATTCCATTGATTTTCAGAGAGAGTGGAAGAGAGAGAGAAAGACAGATAGAAACATCAATGTGAGAGAAACACATCGATTGGTTGCCTCTTGCTTGCACTCCGACCAGGGGTTAGGCTGGGGATGTGTTTGCAATAGAGTTATGTACCCTTGACCAGAATCGAACCTGGGACTTTTCAGATGAGGGCTGAGGATCTATTCACTGAACCAAACTGGCTAGGACCATTGTTTTATTTTTTTAATTATAAAACTAATACATGCTTGCCATAAAACATTTAATAAATATGGATTTAGAAATAAAAGTGTGATTCTTTTTTTATGCTGTTTCCCCTACTAATCTTTCTATTTTCTGTGTATTTTAAAACAACTAGATTTTTTTCTGACATAATTTTTATGAAATATGCTTTTTAAATTTGACAACTTTCGCAGTCTATTTCAAACAAAAATCTTATTTAATAATGTATTTTATAGACAGAATCCCCATTTTAAGAATTGTTGATAAAATTAATTGTATCAGTTTCTATATTTCTACTCCCTTGGAATGCCTCCCCCGCTCCTTTTTAAGGGGGAATCTGTTCAAAGCTTTCATAGGAGTCTTGTAAGGAGTTCAAAGTGTTGGAGACAGTTTTATATTGATCTAGAGAAGAGAATGTCATTTGTGAAATAAATACTGATCTTCATTCCCAGTTTATGTAATATGGCTTTGTGCTTGAGGTGTTGTTTTTTGTTTTTTGTTTTTAATATCTTAACTCCAATATCTTATTTAAAGTCTCTTCTCATTACATACATTCTTCCCAACTTAAAAGGTCTAGACCTTCCTGAATTATTAATTATACAGGTCTTTTGTAAGTTCTAACAGTTTATCCTTACCTTATCTTTATTTCTATTCCTATTCTAACTCCTTAACTTACAGCTCTATTTTCCTTGAATTCATCTTATATTGAAGTTTATTCTCCCCAAATCTGTATAGTAAGAATTCCTTTTATTAGGGTTCTAGAGGTCCAGTGCATGAAATTCGTGCACGGGTAGGATCCCTAAGCCTGGCTAGAGATCCGGGCCGATTTGGGGCCTTCTGGCTGCCTGCTGGGGCCTTCCTTCATTCTGCGCTGCCCCCTGGTGGTAAGCGCACGTCATAGTGAGCAGTCGAAATCCTGGTGGATCTAACTCCTGAGGGGACAATTTGCATATTTGCCTTTTTCTTTTATATTGATTATGGTATCACATAATTGTCCTCCTTCCCCATTCCCATCCCAAATACCTCCCCACGGGTGCCCCCACCCTCCCTGTTGTCCATGACCACTGGTTTGGCTTATATGCATGCATACAAGTCCTTTGGTTGATCTCTACCCCTTTCTCCCACACTCCCCTACCATCTCTCTCAGGTTTGAGAGCATATTAGCCTTTTATCACATAGGATTTTTATGCCATATTTGACCCAGTTTAACCATTCTTGTGGATGCTTGTTTAAAAATTGTGTCTGGGTGGCTTAATTTGCTTGTACACCAAAAGGTTGTGGGTTTGGGTACTTATCTACCCAAAGTTTGCAGGTTTGATCCCCAGTTGGGGTGTGTGTGGGAGGCAACCGATCAATGTTTCTCATATTGATGTTTCTCTCTCACATCCTTGCCCAGCTCGTGTGGCTCAGTGGTTGAGCATTGACCCATAAGCCAGGAGGTCATGGCTCGATTCATAGCCAGAGCACATGCCGAGGATGCAGCTTGCTCCCCAGTGGGCAGCCAGTCAGTGATTCTCTCTTATTGATGTTTCTGTCTCTTTCTCCCTCTCTCATCTCCTCTGAAATCAATAAAAATACATATTTTTTAGGAAACATATCCTCAGGTGAGGATTAAAAAAAAAGATAATATTTCTAAATCACTCATAAATAATTATCATCAAAACACAAGCCTTGATATTTGGCCATAGACAAAGTTGTTTTTAAAAAATCAGTATGTTTTTTGCATTCTAACATCAGTTTTTCATCACTGTTTTTCCTTTGAACTAATAAAATTTGTACATGTTGAAATAAACTTATTAAGAAGTACCAAACTGAATGAGTAAATTCATTATTATTACACAGCAATAAGCTGGACCTCAGAAGAATAGTTGGATTTTTATATAATCTTATCAGATTATTTTTGGGAGAAATGAAGTGAGTTTTATTTGAAAATGTCACAAGTATGTTCAAAAGATGATAGTTATGCTCATGGAGTTTTTGCTGCCGGGAATGTTAGAATAACCATGAACCATTTGTACTAGGTCTTTGGAAACTTTCAGTTGCTAATACATTTTCTAATTTGCATTTGAAGTTACTTTAAAAAACTAATTCTTTGAAAACGTATTTTCCCCCCACGAGTCTCAGAATCATAATAAATGAGTTCTGAATCTATTTTATGAGGTTTCCCTTGGATGTCTGAGATTAATTACAATAAGAATAACTTCAGGAGATGGGTATCAAATTGAAAATGACTATAAACTGTGTGGATTGCTACTACTTATAGGTTAAGTTGATGACTTTAAACAACAATGAATAGGGTAGATCATCAGCTCTCAGAAAACTGCAGTTAATTGAATAAAAGTCTTATTTATTTAGCTTATATTTTGCTTATGGACAAAATAATATGCCTT